AACACACACACACACACACACACACACACACACACACACACACACACGCGGTGTGAGAGCGGCCAGTCGTATGAAGGTCACCGTGACTCTGCTCGGCACGGTCAGTGCTCTCACCTCAGCGGTCAGCTCCACACCTCCGTCCATCTGTCCAGCAGCTTCCTCAGCGGCAGACATGACTGAAACACAAACTCAGAGCTCAGCGCTGGACGCAGCCGACCGGAGCGACGCTTCAGTCCAACTGACCAGTTTCTGCTCCGGAACGGACCTTATCAGAGACGCTTCCCCGTTTAGAAACACTCGAGCGTTATCACTGCTGGAGGAGAAAGTGTCGCACACAGAAAGGAATGTGCAGAGATATGTGCACCTCACACTAACCATTACCATAACCAGTCCTAGTGCTCATAGTGATGACAGCAAACCAAGTACTGAAGTTCAGAGTGTGCCGATAAAACACACACGAGCCTCACACTAACCCTCAGTTAACCAGCACTGATGCTGACTACTAAAACTAGTGCCAGAGATCCGACTGAAACTGAGACAATGTGCTCACATCCATCAGCTCGAGTTCATTCGTACGACTCGTGTCGTTCACCACAGACAGCAGTTACTAGTTCTGATGCAGACCATTCACATCTGTGTGTGTGTGTGTGTGCGCGGATCAGGTATTACCCACATTATGGGTCCACACAAAAATGGCAATATACAAAATCCTTGACCTTGTGGGGACATGAGGGTCTCCATGAGGAACACAGCTTATAAATCCTACAGAATGAAGTGTTTTGAGAATCTAAAAATGCCTGTAGTTTTGTGTGAGGGGGAGGTTCAGGGTAAGAGGATAGAAAATACAGTTTGTACAGTAGAAAAACCATTATGTCTATGGAATGAACCCATAAAACATGGAAACCAGTGTGTGTGGGTCAGGTGGGATCTGGCCCTGAGTGTGTTTTGAGTGTGTGTGTCTCTGTGTGTGTGTGTGTGTGTGTGTGTGTGTGAGACACCATATGTGCCGCTCCATGATAACCGCAGCTCCAACATTCATCATCACAACCGGATCATAACAATCCTCAAAAACACAAAAGAGCTTGATTAATATTTCAGTCTCCAGTCATCTCAACACAAATATTGATTTTCATCTTAACTGCAGGAAGACTACTGTTATAAACCTACTTCAGAAAACTAGTTTATTTGATTTTACTGATTTTAACTATTTCAGATAATAATAATAATAAAATTGAATAAAACACTATTTTTAAGGAATTTCACAATGAAAATATTTTTAATTCACGTTTTAATTTATAAAAAATTATTTGAGTAAAATTCTAAAAAATTGAATTGAAATTATGAATTAGAACAAAAATGAAATGTTTTGTTGTAAAATAATTGTTATATTTTCACTTGATTATATTTTAAACGATTTATTTGATTACCACAGTTGTTTGATGATACATTTGTAATAAATCATAACACAGAATTTCGGAAAGATAAATTAAAATGGAATTTGGTAATAAAGAAATAAAGAAATTACCTTTAATTTGGTCATATAATTACATTAAAAATGTAATTAAATTGCTACATTGTTAAAGTTTCATAAATTAATTTGATTAGATATGTTTTTTGATGTTTAAAAATGAATGAAACCATTAAAATTAAAATGGAAAACACAGAATTTGAATCTAATGGATTTCATAGAGTCCACATACTTCCCAACATGAAACTATCTGAACATCAGCAGCTCAAATCAAACACAAGTCAGAGAGGAAGTTCAGTGGAGTAAATGTGTTTAAAACCCTGTTTCCTCTTTTCATTCGCTCTAATTACAGAGCAGCATTTAAGGGCCTGCTAAAAATAGTTTGTGGGATTGAGGCGCTCTCGATTTCTAAGTTTGACAAACATGTGTGAGACAGCAGTGAGTCTGGATGAGGGAATGATGAGGCACAATCACAGGAAAAGATAAACGCTTTAACCATCAGAATCCAAAAAGAGAAAAGCAAAACATAAACAGAGTGAAAACCACAGGACAGACCGAGCAGACCATCCACATCACGGCGCGTCTGGCAGGTTTCATGAGCTTCCTCAAACACCTCAAAGTCAACAGATCGAAACATCACGTACGCTCGTGTGAGCCTCATCAGAAACACAAACAGACGGCTGATGATGAAGTGACTGCTGTTCTCTCCACGGAGCTCCTCAGACAGAAGATCTCACGATGAGCGAGAGCTCAGGAGACACAGAGACGGATCAGATCAACAAGCATTCATCAGGGATGTTATTCTGGAGATATTATGAATCCTGAGAACATGATCAGAGCGAAAGACAGAAGATCATCTCACCTGCGTCTCAGTGTGATCTCAGAGTCGCTCCAGTCGCTGAGGAATAAGGTCCGGTCATTTTCATTCATAGTGACAGTAGTGTGATGTTGTGTGTTTGTTATCAGAGACCAAAAAGCACCTCAGACTCTCTCTCTCACACACACACACAGACGGTTTTACCGCGGTATAGTGATCAGTGTTTCATACGTTACTGATGTGTTCCTGTGTTCTTCTGAGTCTCTGCAGCTCCGGTGTGTCTGTGACGATACTGAAGCCTCGGCCTTTACTCTCCTCAAAGTCTCGCTTATATCTCACCTGCAAACACACACAGCGGCATCACGAGGACATTACACTGTTCAATCAGTCATAGAGTGATTCTGTCACACTGAGCTTCAGACACACGAATACTGTGATCACAGTCTGTCTGATCGAAGCACACACGTGTGACTGACAGCAACAGTTCAGACCAAATGAATGACAGAATCACCGCCGCTTTCAGTCCTGCAGGAAGGTGATTCTTTGAGAGGAGCAGCATCTGCTCTGGTCTGCCGTCACCTTCTGTCAGCTCAGTGTGACACACACACACACACACATATACACTCTCTCTCTCACACACACATACACACACACACACTCACACACTCTCTCTCACACACATACACACACTCTCACACTCTCTCTCTCACACACACATACACACACACACACTCACACACTCTCTCTCACACACATACACACACTCTCACACTCTCTCTCTCACACACACATACACACACACACACTCACACACTCTCTCTCACACACATACACACACTCTCACACTCTCTCTCTCACACACACATACACACACACACACTCACACACTCTCTCTCACACACATACACACACTCTCACACTCTCTCTCTCACACACACATACACACACACACACTCACACACTCTCTCTCACACACATACACACACTCTCACACTCTCTCTCTCACACACACATACACACACACACACTCACACACTCTCTCTCACACACATACACACACTCTCACACTCTCTCTCTCACACACACATACACACACACACACTCACACACTCTCTCTCACACACATACACACACTCTCACACTCTCTCTCTCACACACACATACACACACACACACTCACACACTCTCTCTCACACACATACACACACTCTCACACTCTCTCTCTCACACACACATACACACACACACACTCACACACTCTCTCTCACACACATACACACACTCTCACACTCTCTCTCTCACACACACATACACACACACACACTCACACACTCTCTCTCACACACATACACACACTCTCACACTCTCTCTCTCACACACACATACACACACACACACTCACACACTCTCTCTCACACACATACACACACTCTCACACTCTCTCTCTCACACACACATACACACACACACACTCACACACTCTCTCTCACACACATACACACACTCTCACACTCTCTCTCTCACACACACATACACACACACACACTCACACACTCTCTCTCACACACATACACACACTCTCACACTCTCTCTCTCACACACACATACACACACACACACTCACACACTCTCTCTCACACACATACACACACTCTCACACTCTCTCTCTCACACACACATACACACACACACACTCACACACTCTCTCTCACACACATACACACACTCTCACACTCTCTCTCTCACACACACATACACACACACACACTCACACACTCTCTCTCACACACATACACACACTCTCACACTCTCTCTCTCACACACACATACACACACACACACACACACACTGAAGGACACATGTTCGTGTGTCTCATCAGAACAGACCCGTGACCCGCTTTTAGGTCACGATCTTCCAGAGAAGCTTTGAAACACAGGCAAAGTTTCTGTTTCTGCGTCTGCATGAACATCCAGAAGAATCAAAGGAAGAAAACTGGGTCACCCTCGTAAAACACGGTTTGGATTTCTGCTTAACGCTTTCATGCAAAATGAGTTGTGTTCGTTTGAAACTGGATGTTAGAGGAGCTCGATGTGAAGCGTTGAGCTCCAGCTCCGTGTCACGCGTGACGCTCACCTGACTCTGTAGCTCGCTCTGCTGCTTCAGACGCAGGTTCTCCGGCGTGTCCGTCACGATAGTGAACGATGTCTTGGGATAGTGACTGCAAGCAAAACATGAACATGACGGTCACTCAAACTTTCATTACTGTGTGATGGACAATACAGTTCATTCGTGGCTGCATGTTAACACAGTGATTTACACAAAAGCTGCATAATATCTCTATCTGGATCAGGAGTAGATGTCGTCATGTTTGGGTGGATTTTTCCTTTAACGCTCGACAAAGCTAAAAATGAACCTGTTCTTCGGTGACGCGCCGATAACCTTTCTGCTCTAATCACAGTAATAATCATCTCGTCAAACTCTGAAAATAACACAATAGCTTTTCATCGTGACTTCACTGCTATTGTGTGATAAAAATAAAGCATGAATGCACATTGAATCGGCAGAACGTTTCCCTGGCAACCGCTGACCCCGCCCCCAAACACATATAACCAATCAGCTCCTGATGCCACGGGTGCAGCTGTCAATCAAACATCATCACCGGCACCTGTGGAGGAAACGACGGAACAGCAGGACAGGAAGTGAGGGAGTGACTGTATCCTGAGAGAGAAACATTTCCCATGAGCCTCCATCTCTGCCTGCATGAGGACAGGAAAGAACCAGCAGGTTAAATGAACCCAGATCGTGTGCAGCGCTTCAGTTTTCACATCTGCAGTCGGAGAGTCTCTGTGTGTTTTTGGACCATCACACAGCCGAAGCCCGAACGAGAGTTTGTTTGTTTTTCTGTCCCGGATGCTCTACAATCACAGCTCATAAACCAGAGCAGAGAGACTCTCTAGAGAGACGCTAATGACCGCTCCACGAGTTTGATGCTCCTGAAATCTCTTCTGCTCACCAAGGCTGTCTTTATTTGATTCAAAAATATGACCGTTTAAAAAATCTGTTTTCAAATCAGCATATTAGAATGATTTCTGAAGATCATGTGACACTGAAGACTGGCGTAATGATGCTGAAAATACAGCTTTGATCACAGAAATACATTACAGTTTAACAGATTCACAAAGTGAATGGTTATTTTAAATTCTAATAATATTTCACATTTTACTGTATTTTTTTTAATCTAATAAAAATAGCCCTGGTGAGCAGAAGAGACTTCGGTCAGAAATAAGAAAAAATCTTAATTATTCAGTAAAACGCACATAAGAGGACACGCTCACAACACAAAAGCACAAAGTTAATTTGAAGATTCACAGCATTAAGTGCTAACTGAGCAGGACTGAACACGTGTGTGCGTGTGTATATCAGTGAGTGTGTGCGTGAGTGTGTGTATATATGAGTGTGTGTGCACGCGCGTGTG